TATATTTTAACAATTATACAGCTTATTTATACTTAATATTATCTATCTTATTGTATTATTTTTTTTAGATAAAAAAAATATCAGAATTCATCATGTATTATTTGTACACCAATACGTCTTCCACAATCAATTTTTAATGATTTACATTTTCTGCCTGATTCAATTCCAGCACAATATATATTATATTATTTTTATTTGTATTAATAATTTAATATTATGACTTACTTATAAAAATTATTATAGGAAATTCAGATCATTATTCTTTATTTCATACTGTTTATGAAACAGAAACTAGTGAAGAATTCCGTCCAACATTGCAATTTAATCAAGTCAATGCTGAATTAGCACCAAAAAGTGTGTTAGTCAGTGGAAAAATTCATGATTATATTACATGTAGTGATTGTGGAAAATGGCGTTGTATTTATAGTGATAAAACATTGAATCAAGAGGAGATACAGGATTTAAACAATTTTTGGATACATATGATTATTCTTGTGATGCATCTCTTTTTCCTGATGATCATTATTTGATAGAAGTATTATTTGTTCGTGTAAAAATATCTTGTGATACCCCTGTGGAAATTCTTTACTATTTTAGCCAAAAATCAGGAAATTATGATATATGTTATTATTGTGGTATAGAAAATGATTTAATTAGTCTGCCTAGTATACTAACAGATAAATTTAAAATAATATATCCATTATGTCAAGGGTGTCAAGATAGAGGTAAAAAATTCAATACTCGTTTAGAAGTTAAAGTAAATAATAGTAAACGAAGAAAAGTAGGTTAAATTAGAAATTAAAGCTTATTGATAAAATCCGCAGTAAATTTATAATAATAAATAAATTTGATTTAGTTGTTTTTTGAAGCAGTAAATAAGTTTTACATAATAATTTTAAGATTTTTTGTTTTATAAAATGGGCTTTATATAAAAAAATCAAATTTTTGATTGTATTTTATAATAAAATCAGTTTTAAGTACTAAATAAATTATATACATATATGTATTTTTTCCTCCTCCCAGATTTGATCTCCTATGTTATGTAAAACACAAAATCAAATTGGTCAGGCCTAAACTCCTTTTTTTTCTCATCATATTTATATTCCCATATATGCATATAACTTCGACAAGTTCTTTCAGATTGTATTTTTATATATCTTGTCAATTTTGAAAATACTGTTTTCTCAATATATATTTTTAGGTTTTAGAAGAACGTGATTCAAGTGCTTGTTACCATAATCATATCTGGCATTCTTCTTTAAAATCCTCATCATCTAACGAACTTTTCAATTTTGAATGTTTCTCTTAACGATAAGTAATAAGCTTTCCTGTTTTTATAAAGTAAGCTCCCATTTCTGAATACATCTTATCATATAATCGCTTTGTTCTACATGATTTATGCAATATCATTACTAGTATTCATTTTATCTTGTCCATTTAATAACAGCTGAATAAACCTGTATATGCTTAATCGATATAAATAGTCATAGATAAAGATTTTTCATTTTCTTTTATAAATTTTAATAATAAATATTATTTATTTATTTCTTTTAAACATATATGTAGATTATTAGTGAAAAATAAAGAATCCTATGTAATTTCTGGAAATGGTTGTAATAGTAACAAAAGCAAAGAACTTTCTGAAATCAGATGTGATGAGGATGCTTTTTCAGATGCTTTTTCAGAACTTTTAAAAAATGTATCAAGTGTTTTCATTTCCTTTGCAGCTTCTTTTAACTCCTCTTTTTTTATTTTTTTCTTCCAGATTATAGTTCTCAATTTCCGGTATATGCTGCTCTAATACTATGAATAGCATTTTTCTGCTAACGAAGAGTTTTAGTGATAAGCTTCTTTCTACTTCCTCAAATTCTCTCAAATCTTTTCTCATCCAATCTTCAACAGTCTCATCCCCTTCTATTGATTCAATAATAACTTCATCTTCTATCTATTCTTCATCTTTTTTAACTCATTTCTTTCATGGTAGTTTTCTCCATAATAATTTGATCTTAAGATATATAGCATCCTTTTTTTTTTTTAGATATTTTGCTAACTTGCTTTTGCTTCTTTGTTTTATATGTTATTTCAAAAGTATGATCAGTTTTCAAATCTAAATGTAAAAAAAATTTGGTTATTGACTTAAAAAAAAATTAATTTATCAAGTTAAAAAAAATATCTAAGTATAATTAATTGTAATAATTCAGATCAGAGTTAAATTATTATAATATTAACCTGAATTATTGTAAGTTCTAACCAATAAAATTATGTTCATGTGATTTGATATTGTTTCAAATTTAGGCCAATTATATAAAAATCATGCAATTTTAAATGCTTATAACTTTTTATCTAGATTTTTTTTCAGAAATCTAACAGATAATTTAATAGTATTCATCTTAAAGAATAAAGTTACCAGTTTATTTTTTTAAAATTTTATTTTTTTAAAGTACTAAAAAATTTTTAAATATTACAATTTTATTGTTAAATATAGATTTCCAGCATTATAGGATTTGCTAGTTGAATGTTTAAATGAAAAAATAAATTGTAACAGAGCTTGCTGGTTAGTGATAAATTTGTAAATTCAAATATAACTGATTGTTTCATTTTAATACATTAAAATAATCTGACTGAAATTTATTATATATTATTAAATATAACATTTAAAATATGATTTTAAAAAACTTTTATTTTATTATCAATATTACAAATATGATTAATATTTTATTGCTGTATACTATTGCAACTATTATTGCAGAAGTGTATTAGAAGAGTGACTATTATACAGTAGCGGTCATAAGTATCCAACCGCCTGAAATCGTCTAAAATTATTATATAACTACCCCTTAAATTTTTCAGAAATATAATGTAATACAATACATGATCACCTGTAAATTTATA